AAGCAACCTTGGTGAGCATAAGAGACTCAAGAAAGTTTTACAGATTCTTTGGAACAGTAGTGCAAGATATGTTTAATTGAAAGTCTAAACAATAATGCTCATATATAATGTGAAAAAAGTTTAATTCTATTTTTTTTAATTAACAAAAAAAAGAAAAAAAAAAAAAAGAAAAGAAAAGAGTAATATTATATCATTTTTACTAGTGGTTTCAGCCTTTTTAAACCCACTCCATTCTATGAAAACAGACACTGAGATGTACTACAGAAATTGTTTGAGCTGTTACCTCTTTGCAGCAGGCAAAAAAGACAATGATCTTCTTCTTAAGATGACTCCTCAAAAACGAGAAGAGCATGTTGACTTTCTGGTGCAGCTCACACACCATATAGTTCTGTTCCAGAGTGGCTGGTGTACTGCAGAGAAGATCAGTGTTTAAGAGCTTCATGTCCATCCATGATGTTAAAAAGACATTAAAGGTATTGACCCCCCCAAAAAAGAAGATATTTGGAAGAAAGTGGGTAACTAAACAGTTGCTAGTAGCCATTGACTTCCACAGAATTTTTTTCAATACTAGGGAAGTCAGTAGGTACCGGCAACTGTTTGGTTACCAACATTCTTACATTTTTTTGTGTGTGTGTTCTGAAGAATAAAGAAATTCTTACAAGTTTGGAACAACATGAGGTTCAGGAAATGACACAATTTTCATCTCTTTAAGAGCGGGCTGACTAACAAAGATGCCCAACATAAATCACTATAAAACCATGAGCTTACCTGAACTTGGCCTGCTCATGGACCCACACATACTCTGGGTTCTTCAGGCTCAGTCTGGCCAGATCTTTGACAGACTTGGTTTGAGTGGCAGAGAAGAGAAGGGTCTGCCGTGTTTTCGGAAGGTTTTCAATAATGGCATTGAGTGTGTCGGCGAAACCCATGTCCAGAATTCTGTCGGCTTCATCAAGTACTGCCATGGAAGAGAAAATATGTCATGTTATTTAAAGGTGACATATCATGAAAATCTGACTTTTCCAGGTTTTAAGTGCTATAATCAGGTCCCTGGTGCATCTACCAACCAAGGAAACGTGAAAAAGATTAACCTAGTAACTTTGTTTTGGGAAGCCTTTTTCTGCAAGCCTCTGAGAACACGAGCGCGTCTGATTTCGCTCCTTTGGTGACGTGGCAAAGGGATCTCATTATAATATTACC